ATTACACATAACAAGACCATAAACAGTTTTACAAATACAGGGAAATAAAACCTAAACATAACAAAATCTCTATCATGTTGAAGCGTAACTCTTTTAATCGCACTGCAAATTTGGTGCCTGTCAAAAGTGAGAACCCGTCCGGCTGGCCGAAAAGGTGATTTTGGGAATTTTTTTCATCGTTTTCACTAAAAGCCCATAATTATTAAACTGCATATCACATAGGAACAGATTTTTCTAACTGAAAAGTCCCGGCATTATGGAGTTCTCTTCATGAAAACGTTTTATAATGTGGTCAATGCTGTAATTTGTTGTGCAAAGGAAGGGCGTGCTTTGATCACAGGTAACCCAGGCTCACTGTTAGTGCCACGTTCGGATTTCATAACATGGTTAAATATAGAGAACATATGTGGCGAAGTTTAGGTCTGGAAATTTGCTAGAAAATGGAAATAAAAATTGATGAAACTTATCATGTGGCAAGTTGTTGTTGTCCTTAATGTGTACACGAAGTTTCGGGAAAAATAGTCTTCTTCACCGTTCCTTCATAGTATTATATTTCAGGGTTGTCCAATTATTAGTCTCTCAAACGGAGCAATGTTGGAGAGACTGGTGAATGCCACATTATGATGCAACAGCTAATGCAAATACAATACACTTTCCAGGCCTAATCTACTGTGATCGAACATGATTGCTATTTTTGGGTGTACAAATAAGACTACTAACTCAATGTAAAGTTTGTTTCACTCCTGGACTGTCAAATTATTTTTCTCTAAAATCATTTAGCCTTTGCCTCAAAAGTCACATGAATGTACCCTGATCTGTGGATTGCAAGTTTATTGTTTCATTTAAATTATGAATTTATTAACGGGAGCTTCGCTTTTAGCCCTGGCTAAATCTATATATTACAATATTCGCCTGACAAGAGGCTTCTGGTGGCGTGGGAACGTGTCGTGGGTCGAGCTGTGGTCTTGGTATCTGGCACTTTGGTGGAAGGTGCAGTCTTGGTATCGAGCGCTAAGGTAGAAGTTGCAGCCTTGGTATCGAGTACTTTGGTAAGAGGTGCAGTGTTATTTTCGAGGACGATAGGTGGGGCTGCGGTCTTGGTAACCCGCAATTTGGTAGTGGGAGTTTCACTTGAACCCGTACAGGCAGCGCTTGGCTTTACAGCTGTTGTCCGGGGAGGTGGACCGTTGCAGTAATCCTCATTACAGACTTTTATAGTGCAATTGTCTTGCCTCCCTTGGCAAAAGGTAGGCCATAAACAATCCTTTGTGTACTGGAAACCATGGTCATCATACGTTAGTATAGCACACCTCAGTCTATCGTCACATGTTGTAACATTTTGGCTCGCTGAACATTCTTCTTCAGACCTTGCTGTGCACTTGTAGCATTTAAGCGAATGTGCTGACGAGACAAGAGAGTAAAATAATTTTGTTACGAGAATGAACAGCCTCGCGACCCATTTTAATATATTTTGAATTCAGAAGCAAGCCTTCACTCATTACTGTCATTTGCATGAACCCTCACTCGCCAAACAAATTTTAATCGTTTGCGACAAAATATTGCTTTTTCATACTCAGAGAGGATACCAGTTTCTTTTTCTTGATTATTTCATTATTTTTCTTTTTTTTTTTTTGTTATTTTACGTTATTATTAATTTTTACAAAAATTATTTTATTATCATTATTTTATTATATTTTTTTTCATTCAAATTATTTTTATTTTTGCATGTTCCGGAATGTTCCGGAATGTTCCGTGTTCCGGGTTTTATCGACGGCCATTTACGAAGGCGTGATCGATGCAAACGTGAATACCTGTTGTAAGCTCAATGTATTTTTGGAAAAGCGTCTTTAGTTTTCGTGTAGACAGTGGTTGTCTTAACACTAGGCTGTTAAGTAAGACTTAAGAGCTGCTAAGTTTTACTTAACCAAAAATGCGTGTGTGAAGGCCTAAGCAAAATCTCAAGTAACTTTACTTTGCATCTCATTAAAACCGACTTAGCGAACTTGCGGTTTCCAAGCTTTGAGAAAGGCGAAGCATGTCAGTCAATCTTAATTACGTTGCTTGGGAAAACCTGAACCTTTCTTTTACTTGAAGAATTTAAAATTCACTTGTCTTGAAATATTTCATAGCGTTTATATCAAACTGAAAGATTCCTGATTGCGTGCATTTCTTTGGTGCATGAGCCAGACAAGCCGTGAGTCGAGTCAATAGCCGTCGTGTACGAACTCACGAAAAGAACTCAGGAGATGCTGTTCGCCGATTGGGCACAATAATACAAAGCATTTTTTGTGCCCAATCAGGAGCCAACATTCGCTTGACCGCTGGGAAATGGTCCAGTAAGAGTCGGTACCCAGGGGCTTTTCCGCCTGTGCTTGAAAACTTTTGTCGCGCCTTTTCTCCCGGCCTGACTGACTGCCCCTGGGTCTCCGAGGATGCCTACCCTACGAATATGATATATTCTAGACTCGGCGGAAAGCGAATTTAATTGGGTTGCCATATTAAGGAGGAGCTTGACCGCTGGGAAATGGTCCAGTAAGAGTCGGTACCCAGGGGCTTTTCCGCCTGTGCTTGAAAACTTTTGTCGCGCCTTTTCTCCCGGCCTGACTGACTGCCCCTGGGTCTCCGAGGATGCCTACCCTACGAATATGATATATTCTAGACTCGGCGGAAAGCGAATTTAATTGGGTTGCCATATTAAGGAGGAGCTTGACCGCTGGGAAATGGTCCAGTAAGAGTCGGTACCCAGGGGCTTTTCCGCCTGTGCTTGAAAACTTTTGTCGCGCCTTTTCTCCCGGCCTGACTGACTGCCCCTGGGTCTCCGAGGATGCCTACCCTACGAATATGATATATTCTAGACTCGGCGGAAAGCGAATTTAATTGGGTTGCCATATTAAGGAGGAGCATAACAACTCGATCACGAAATTCTCGAAGTCCCTGTTTTCGTCGGACGAGTCTTTTTTATCCTTATCCGAAATTTAGACCTCTAAAACTCAGCGAAGATGGACAACTGGCTTTATGAATTACGCAACGCCCTTCCGGTTACTGGGTTAATAATTGAAAGTGTTCATTATTTGACACTAATCTACCCATTTTATAAACTGAGCTTGCTACGCAGCCCAGTTAAAAAGCGCGAGCAAAATTTTGGGTAAGGATCGACTTTTCCGATGGGGAAGGGGAGGGGGGTGGTATTGGGTGGGGAGAAGACGGGGAAAGAAGAAGAGAGTATAACTGCGTTCCAAGAGGGGCGTGTAGGGGGCAGGGGCTTGTCCTAGCCACATGTTGCTCGGCAACGTTTTGTACTTGGAGCAACTTTTTTTTAGCA